AAATACTGACATCTAAGAATGATAATTTTGCCATGAACTACAGCTGCTTTTTATTTGAGGAAAAGAAACCTTCAGTGAGAACTGAATGCTAAGGTCTTCTTTGTAGATGTCTCAATAAAGGTACCAATATGAGCAAAATAATTGCCGTGGCAATTACTCTGGTTCAGGTATTGACGCTGTATCAGTTGCATCCTCTCTGATATCAAAATGGGACTACTCTGGTCCAGTGAGAGCCCGTGTTAACTTGTAGCTACTAAATTTACATTTCTGTGTCGAGCACAGGGGGCTTGTGTGTGTTGTTAAGATGGAGACAGACTTCTTCCTTTGCTCTGGTTCCCTCCTAACTTAGAAGTGAAACTAATTCATCCTTAATTGTGTCAAAGTTCAGTTCCTAAAGTCTGTTTTTATTATTTTTTTTTTTTTTTAATTCACTGAACTGGACTAAACAGTAAATCCCAAAACTGTAGTTGCTAATATTCCTGGGAAGTAACTAACTCTGGTTCAGCTCTCAGCTTCACGTGGCGTGGACTATAATGATGCTTTTTGGAAAGATCCTGTGGTTGAAAACTTGATGTGCTGTTAAATTCACTTCTCAGGCTTCTTTGCTTTGGGTTCTTTAATGGCCAAGGCAGTGCATTGGTGAGAGTCACCCATCTGTGCAAAAAATGCATGTTGATTTCATAATATTTAAGTGTTATGCCAGCATGTATCATTTAATCTAAACAGAGAATTTTTTTCTGTTTTTCAGACTTTACCTGTTCGGAAGATTCCATGCAAAGCCAATGCTCCTTCAGGGTCTTTTTTTGCACGGGACAACACAGCGAATTTCTTATCCTGGTGCAGAGATGTAGGCGTGGATGACACCTGCCTGTTTGAATCAGAAGGTTTGGGTATGTATTTCCATGGGTAGCCGTTAGTAATTTAAAATAACGTTTTTTTGTGTTTTGCCTCGAAGGACAGAATGGCTCATAATTGATCTTGACTCCAAATCTGACATGTGCCTGTGTTAATTCTGCCCCTTATCTGTGGAATGAACAATACATGAAATTCATTTAAGTCTATTTTAAGAGGAACTTAAATGAGAGAAAAATCTTACTATGATTTCTTGCATGCAGATAATTTTTCACTCTACACATACTTTTTTTTTTTTTTTTTTTTTTTTTTTTTTTTTTTTTTTTTTTTTTTTTTTTTTTTTTTTTTCCCCCCCAGAAGAATGGAAAGGAGGTAAAAATAATGTTAAAAGCTTCACTGTGCTCTGATCTATAAGGTTTTTCCATATCTAGAACCACTTGAAAGAATTCAGGTTTCATAGTTTTTTTATTTATTTTGGATTAGAGAACAACTGTTTTTACTCCTCCGCTTTCTTCCTCCTTCCCCTCTCTTGTTCCAGGAGGTGATATGGTGTCTGTCACACAAGGTTTACTTGGATTTTTCTTTAAAATATTGTTTCCAAATGGTTAGTGTTTTATAACATATTATAGAAAAATATTAATATCTCCTTGCAAATATTTTGAACCACAACCACATTTTTGACAAGCCAGGAAGTGTAAATCATGTAATTGGAGTAAGAATCATGGGGGAATGACAGCTAGATGGTGATTTGAGGAATAGTTCCAAATGCATAGACCTGTAAGACATGTTTGTATATCTGAGACAATTTCTAAGCTCCAATTGACGTACCAATAAAATAAGTAGAATGGTGTTTATCCCTGCAGTTATTCTATTTGCAGTTTATTTGGTTGGTCGGGTAAATAGTGGTGAGTAGCTCTGTGAATTCTGCCCTTACATCACCACTGTCATGTGTCTAATATAATATATCGATTCCTTCTAAGCTCTCTTTAAATACTGACATCTAAGAATGATCATTTTGCCACGAACTACAGCTGCTTTTTATTTGAGGAAAAGAAACCTTCAGTGAGAACTGAATGCTAAGGTCTTCTTTGTAGATGTCTCAATAAAGGTACCAATATGAGCAAAATAATTGCCGTGGCAATTACTCTGGTTCAGGTATTGATGCTGTATCAGTTGCATCCTCTCTGATATCAAAATCATGTAAATGGGACTACTCTGGTCCAGTGAGAGCCCGTGTTAACTTGTAGCTACTAAATTTACATTTCTGTGTCGAGCACAGGGGGCTTGTGTGTGTTGTTAAGATGGAGACAGACCTCTTCCTTTGCTCTGGTTCCCTCCTAACTTAGAAGTGAAACTAATTCATCCTTAATTGTGTCAAATTTCAGTTCCTAAAGTCTGTTTTTATGATTTTTTTTTTTTTTTTAAATTCACTGAACTGGACTAAACAGTAAATCCCAAAACTGTAGTTGCTAATATTCCTGGGAAGTAACTAACTCTGGTTCAGCTCTCAGCTTCACGTGGCGTGGACTATAATGATGCTTTTTGGAAAGATCCTGTGGTTGAAAACTTGATGTGCTGTTAAATTCACTTCTCAGGCTTCTTTGCTTTGGGTTCTTTAATGGCCAAGGCAGTGCATTGGTGAGAGTCACCCATCTGTGCAAAAACTGCATGTTGATTTCATAATATTTAAGTGTTATGCCAGCATGTATCATTTTATCTAAACAGAGAATTTTTTTCTGTTTTTCAGACTTTACCTGTTCGGAAGATTCCTTGCAAAGCCAATGCTCCTTCAGGGTCTTTTTTTGCACGGGACAACACAGCGAATTTCTTATCCTGGTGCAGAGATGTAGGCGTGGATGACACCTGCCTGTTTGAATCAGAAGGTTTGGGTATGTATTTCCATGGGTAGCAGTTAGTAATTTAAAATAACGTTTTTTGTGTTTTGCCTCGGAAGACAGAATGGCTCTTAGTTGATCTTGACTCCAAATCTGACATGTGTCTGTGTTAATTCTGCCCCTTATCTGTGGAATGAACAATACATGAAATTCATTTAAGTCTATTTTAAGAGGAACTTAAATGAGAGAAAAATCTTACTATGATTTCTTGCATGCAGATAATTTTTCACTCTACACATACTTTTTTTTTTTTTTTTTTTTTTTTTTTTTTTTTTTTTTTTTTTTTTTTTTTTTTTTTTTTTTTTTTTTTTGGAGCATGAAGGCTTTTTCTTAGTTCAATGTCTAAGGTGGTGTTTTTCTGCTTTGAGAGAGCAGGATACAAGCGCATGCTCAGTTCTGGCTGCAGAAATTTGGCTGTTTGTGCAGATTTAACGAGATGCACAGGAGGCAAGAAGAGACGAAGCTTTTCTTTCCTGTGCTGACCATTTTTTCCAGCTGGTTCCCTTTGCTCAGCTCTGGACAAAACTTATCCAACAGTGGTGCTTCAGGGTGTTCCATCAGAAGAATTGGACTGCTTAGGAAATCACTGTTCTAATACTGCATATTCTTCACTGGTTTAACTCTTCCTTCTTCAAGGGAAAACTGAGGAATCTTGCCCCGAGAGCTTTTCAGCCAAATCTCATGAAGAGAAGAGAGTCAAATGTTTGTTGTCTGAACTCAGACAAAAGTGTAAAGCAGTTGTGGTGACAGGCAGATCAGTTTCTGTGGAAGACAAGTGAACACACTGTACTGAATCAAGAAGTTTCTTTGTTCTGTTGCTCAAAAAGTCTGCCCTGTTGAAGGCCTTACATGTGTTGCAGCTGATCTATTCCCATCCTTTTACACTCCTGCTCTACTTCTATAGCCTATTAAATATTTCTGAGGCAATTTTTTTCTTCATTTGTCTTTTCTTTTATCCTGTGAGGTTTTTTTTAATTGCATTATTTTGTATACCCAGGAGAAAATGATTGGCGCAGAAGAGAGTGGTATCACAAAGGTGACAAATAGTAAGGAGGATATATGTACTGACTTTGTTTTGTTGTTTGATTCCTCAAGATGAAATTTTTATTTGGTGTGGTAAAATCATGTGGAAGACGAACAGTAATTGTAGTTCTGATGATTTGAAATGGTTGAGAAACTGGACATTGTCTAGGATGAAGAAACTTGTAAACACCAGGAGGAGACACAGACCTCCAATGCCCAAGGCAGGCAGAAGAACCTGTGGTTAATGGAATACTAAATGTACTTAGGACTTGATGATAATTCATTTTGACCCATTTTTATGAACTTGAGGAGGAGATGGTGACCGTACCATTTTAAAAAATAGAAAATATAGATAAAACCACTAGCTGCTGTTCTCCCTCAGTTTGAGCTCTAACTCAAATCTTGGATTTCATTGGAGGTTTTTCTGATGCTTTAGAAAGAATGATAAATCATTAATAGCTGCCAGTCTAAAGCTTCTGTGTTCCTCTCTCTCCTACAAACCCCTTCACCACTGCATAGGAAATAAAAATTCAGCAAAGGTAAGTAATATCAGAGGCTCTTTTCGAAGCAGTGAGAAAGGCTCTTTTCAAAGCAGTGTGAATGACATCTAAGTGTTTGCACTGCCCCACTGAATTCTGCATTTTTGATAATAAAAAATTGTGGTGAAATTACGGTTACAGAGGTGACTGTTTTTCGTGTTTTCTTCTGTTTTCCCCTGTAGCTGTTAAGCTGTAAATTGATGTGTAAATTGCTAGTGATAAATCAGCTGTTTTCTGTCTATATTGGAGAGCCTTTCTTATTGTCAGTGTTCTCCACTGAGTAGATTTTTTTATCCTCGTTTTTTGCTCTATTCTGTCTGCCTTAAGGTATGTAAATACTGTATTATTTAATTTGATGCACATAGTGATCTTTTCTTCATGCTACTGTATAATATAAAACATTGCTGAGCTCTTTTTTCTGGCAAATAGGTATTCTAACAGTGTAGGAGCGATTTTGAAGATTCAATGAACTGAAATATTTTGAGTGATGGACTTGTGACATTATTGATTTAAAAAAAAAAAAGTACAAGTCTGTTAGAGATCAGCAAAATGAGATCTCTACTAGCTAAGAAATTATTAATTGCTATTATTTCTCATTACTTAAACATACATTCTCATCAAGATGAGTGTTTGGAATCAAGCAGGTCTAACTGCACACAAAACATCCAACACTCCCATCTTTTTAGCATGGGTTCAAATGCTGTGTTGGATTTGGGCTACTCAGCTGAGCTGAACAAGAAAGCAGGAATGAACTTTTTTTTTTTTTTTTTTTCCAAAATAAACAGAAGGAAAAATAAACAGAATGAAAATCAGGTGCTTGCTATGCTGGTAGATATGATTATGTCCCCTAATCAGTAGTTACTTAAAACATAATTGAAAGAGAACATTGCTGAGCTCAAAATTGTGAGGACAATGCACTTGCACTACTAACTTGTTAGTAGTCTATAATATATGTATTTTGTCTTGCTGAAAGTTATTGTGCTTTAACATAGGTTAAAATGCAAACAAATTGGAAATATGGCTTTCTGTTAAGACATAGCAGGAAAGTCTGAGAGTTGATGCCTTTGCAAAGCAAAGGTGGGTGGTGTGTACCTGTTGTAAGAGCTGCAGAAAAGACAAAAGCATCTGTAAATGTCAGAACAACACGGTATGAAGGGAAAGTCTTGAATCCTGCAAAATAGAGGGAGTCTCTGCATACTCCCTGTACTCATTGACCAATTTATCATGTTTATCATATTTTTTTAAAAAAATTTTATAGTTAGGGTATTTACAGAAGAAGAAACTAGCTCTGTTAATACCAAAAAATACGATCCAAAGTCCAAACTCTGATCATCTGGGCAACTCTTGAAATGCGGTGTCATTGAATGGGATTCTCAGATGTCACAGAGGTCAAAATTTGTCCCATATGTAGGTCTCTGAACAGGATGCACTAACTCTTTGCAGTGTATGAAGAGTAATACTCCTCTGTCCCCACTGTAGGTATGCTTTGTAAGTTCCCCTGTATAGTTTTCAGGGCAGCAGACCCCACACAGCTGTGGTAATTTTATCTATGGAAGCGTTCTAGGTGGAGATATTTGTAATGGTTGTGCTCAAGCCTGAAGAGTGTAATGCTCGAAGAAAACTGCTGGGACAAATAGTGAGAATGGTAAGATTTCCTATGATTGCTTCAGTTAAGTGAACTTACAAAGCATTAAGTTCTAAACTCTTTGTGGTAATGGAGTCTTGTTGGATGATTGTAGGAACTGGAACCGGCGAATATTCTGCGTCTCTTCCCTGATAAAGTCTGCCCGGCAAGAAAAGGGTTTGCCACCGAGTGTGCCAGCATGCTGATGTGTGTCATTTGTTCTGGGAGTTGTTGGATGCTGTTGGTGTGTTCATGTTTTGTGCTTGTGTAACTGTGCGTGTGTGCACACAGTATGTGACATGGACTTCTTTTGATGCAACTGATTGATGAGAATTTAATGGGCAGGTTCCCTGTTTTAGTGGAAATAACAGGCTGATCTCTCTTCTAACACTGCTGGTTTAAAGTGTGTTGTTTTTGTTTTTTTTTTTTAAATACTTGAATGTTGATTGCTTCCAAGTATTTTATGCACAGGGGCAAACAATTTTTTTTTAATTACTACTCTTTTTTCTGACTTCATACAAGATGGAATTGTTTTGACTGTTCTTTGACATATTTAGATATTGTAACAGCGTGTAAAAATTTACATGAAGTTGCATCAGAATAAGGTTTTGTCCCATCCTTCACAACACTTTACTAAACCACTCATAATATTATTGAATATGTCTTGTTTTGAGGACTATAGAAGCATCCTTGACACTGTGTTATTACCATTGGATTTACACCTTAAATTAATGAATTCCAGTAAATTGTTAGTGTTTTGATGATCTCTATATTCCTTCTAGATGAATTCTTTACTATCTTTAGATCTCCTTGTTTTTAGACTTCCATAAGTGATTGTACTGAAAAGGGGATGAGGGGGAAACACAAGTGTGTCGTAGCATAACTCTGATTCAGAAGCAAGATGTGCTTGGGATAGGTTGGACAGAGTGTTTTTAACAAAACAAAGTTGAAAAAACTGAACAAACAAAAACTGCTGTAGGATCAGAATAAGAAGTTTTAAAGGAGAAGGTGAGAGACAATAGAAAGAAGGATCAAAGGGGGTCAACCTTTTGGAAAACTTTCCCTAACCTAGTGTGAATTCTGATGGCAGTTGGAAGCCTATAATAATAAATACTAAGCCACTTTGTAAAACTCTTTCCTTCTAGTGAGCTAAAGAATGCTTTAGGATATGAAATCATATCCACTTTTTTTCATTCAGCTATGCCTGATATATTAAAAAATAAAAAGAGTAGCTTATGAAGGAAGACTGACTTCACTAAAACTGGTTTACAAAAATGGTGGGAGCCAAGATTTGAAACTTGGCAGAGAGGTGTGAGAACAGAAATGTGGTGAACAGTAGGTGATAGGAATGGAAGTGCATGGAAGGAACAGGAAGGGTGAGTGAACAGAAGAGGAAGGCCTGTAAAAGGAGAACGGGGCAGCAACAAGACAGAAGCAGCGTGAAGAACAGTTGTTTCCAGAGAGGAGCAGGGATAAAAGCTTGCTAGGAACTGAAAAAGAATTATTGTTTAAAAAAGAGTGGCTGCAGGTAGCTTGAAAAGATGCAGGCAATGAGGACAGCAGGTAAGAAACATTTGAAGAGATGAGATGGAAAGCAAAAGGGTCTTCAAGTGCCAGGACACCTAAAATAAGCTGGACTTGCATGCACTATTTTTAAACCTTCCCACTGTGTTCTTGTCAAGCAAATGTCATCAGTGAGATTCTCAAGCAAGATGGATATTTCCATTCATCTTATGCATGCACAGTGCATTTATCTCTTGTATTTACAAACTACAACTTGCTTATAATCACCTACAGGGACAATTCACCTTGCTAGTGTTCCATAGGGGAGGACTGGAGAATGATTCTCCAGGAATTTTGTTCTGTTCCCCACATGAAAGCTTGAAAAATTATAGGAAAGTAAATATAAAAATTGTATTTGTGATACAAAGTGAAGCACTTCGGCTATAATTAAGGCTGGCTATATTAGTTTTCTTGTTGTGATACATCTATAAAATTTCTATGTCATCCGGTGGGCACAGCAGTACACAAAACGACATTAATTTGTCTCTGAAGTCCCCCAAAGCATATGCTGTATAGTCCTCAGGAATGCTAACATTTTCTTGTTGGAGGCACTGTGTCACCACCTTCCTTTCAGATGACCAGGTGTTTGTGTTCGTGGTTTTTGATGGCCTGCACAGCTCTTCACCTCCTAACAACGATTTCACCGTGTCACGTTGTTGTTCAGTGTGAAGTGCATGAAACGTGTCTAGATTGTGTTTTGAGTCAGATTTGCTAAAGGACTTGAATTAATTTTGTTTGGGGAGGAGCATTGACAGCAAAATGTTTCACCTTTTTTAATCAAATTCTCTTCTAGTTGCGTTTATGGATCTTTTTGCAAGTAACAGTGGTTGAACATCGCTTTTTCTCCTCCCTTCCAAAGTTAATCAGATGTGCATATGTATGAATTACAGTTGAATTTCTTTGACTATTCCAAACCCAGTTTCTACCACTTATGTTTTGGGGAATGCCTTATTTCTTAAAATCGAGTTTTATTCTGGGGCAGTCCCAGCTGATTTAAAACCAAAGCAGCAGAATACATTTCTAGGGCCACAAAATGTAACAGTTAAAAAATACTGATCCCTAGTAAAGGTAAATGTTTAATGAAATTACTGGAAGAATATTGAGAATAGCTGAATGTCTGAAATGGCATTGTTTACATTCTTAGTAACAGATGGCTGAAGGATAAAAATATTTTTCCTAGTGCAATACAGTTTCAGTTTTCACGCTCTGCACTTTCACTTCTAGAATATATTTGGATGAACTCAAAGAGGAAGAATGTACACATCTGAAAGGGCTACACAGACACTGGAAAAAGATATTGGGATATTGGGCACTCAGCTCACACACATTTATTCACATCAGTGGAGCTGGAGGATGAAATTGCAGAACTGAAGGTCTGCAGGGTGTTAGTTATCTAGAGATGTTTAAGTCTGTGGATTCCTGTTTTGGGGTCTTGTACAGGGAACAAAGTAATTACTTTCAGAGCTTTAACTAGAAATTGAAATATCTTTTTCAGGTATGTTTTTTTTTGCTTCATGCATTTGAGTTAGGTGAGTCTTTAGATTGCCAAATGTTTATACAGCTGTTGTCTTGACCTTTACTCATTAGAAACAAATTGATTTTGAGGCTATTTCTTTTTTTTTTTCCTGATTTACACAAATACATTTTGTGTAATGTACAAATGTAATTACTTTTTGGTGTCAATTCAATCTGAAGAGTAAGGTGCTAATCTTTTGATTATTGCCAAAGTTTTTAAAACCTGATTTTTATCCACAGCATGAGGGCTTTACTGCAGTAGGTATTTCTGGACAACAGATGATGATGTACACAGAAGTTACTTTTTTATTTTCTTCTATTTTTACTTTCTTCATTTTGGAGTTTTGGGGAGTTCATTAACCAAACAACCACAGTCCTTTCTTCATATGTTGATTTTTGGATATTACTTATATGCTTAGCTGAAATAGTTTACAGAACATTACCTATCAGAATCCGTGTGTGTGGGGGGAATATATTGGTTTATGTTGGTATTTCATAATTATTATGACCCACCCCAAAAGTGAGGTTAATTGTTAAAAGATGACTTTATATATGGCAGGTTTATTTTTAGAATAATTTGCAATGAAAAGGAGGTATGTAGCCATTTTGCTTATTATCTATAGAAATGCAACAGCATAAAAGTATAAAGATATCACTTCAGGAAATATGTAAGAAGGAAAGGATAAGAGTAGATAGCAAAGAGGGAAAATACCACCACTTATGGACCCAGTGGCAAGACATGATTGTTGCAATTTAAGTGTCTGTTGGTCGAAGTGATGGTTGCAGTCTTGATCCGTGGGGAGGTGGAGGAAAGCCCATGAAACACGGAGTTTCACGGGTTAATATTGGTCAGGTTCAGGTGGGAAAGCCCAGGTACCTCCCCTGGGTGGGAGGGAGTCTTACACAGCCTGAGGCAACACTGTGGATCACGTGCAGTCCTCTGGTGGAAGGTCCCAGAAGTGAATCTTGGGGCACTTTTGGCAGCTTATGAGCCCTTCTAAGACATGACAGCTGCCCCTCCCATCGGCTGAGCCAGCTATCTGAGCCCATCAGAAGGGATGGAGACCTTCAGGCCCACGTGTGGATGTTTCAGCACCACACACTCCTCCTTGCCCTTCAGAAGTTCCTGCTGGGTCTTTGCTGCTTCTGAAGCTTAACAAAACCCTGCATGTTCTGTGTGGAAGCCAGGCATGAAAACTTGCATATTATATGTATATATAAAGAAGTCTAGTCTGTTTGGGATTTTTGACCAGGATGAACTGAATTCCTAAAGCATCCCAGTCCCACATTTGCTTTAAGAGGAGATGTATAAAAAAATTCAGGACCAAATATATAGAAAGATATGTCTTTGCTAATGCAATTTTGTTATCTTTGTGATTTCAATTGGCTAAGACAAGTAGTGATCTCAAGGATATGAATTCTCTTAGTTTGCAGAAAGAAAAGTATCGCTTTAATGTTATTTTTAACCTTTGACTAATTTAAGTGTTCTGCCAGAGTTCTTGATTATTTTTAAATATTTATGAATTGCCTGCAGATTACCAATTAGGCCAAATAATTGCTCAGTAATTTAGATAACTAAAGGGAACTTCCTAAAGCTTCTGCACTCTGAGAATCACTCAACCCCATCCTTTTTATTCCAGTGAAACTCTGCTGCAAGCCAAAGAAAACTGAGTCTTATCAGAGTCAAGAGTTACATATGTTGATGGTTTGCTTCCATTCCATCACTTAGATCTTTAAAACAGCTTTTATTTATCAATGTTTTCCATCTTCCTTTTCCTTTCCCAGTGCTCCACAAGCAGCCAAGAGAGGTGTGTCTTTGTTTGCTGGAGCTTGGAAGGATTGCAGCAAGGTGGGTGAAAATATTTGAAGCATGATGAAATATTTGCATTCTTGACAGCAGTGGCTGTTGAGAGACTTGATAAATCAGCACATCTCAAGTTAACTTCTGTGCTCATTAGGTTCAAGGATAATGCTTGTCTTGATGTCACTCAAGAATATCTTGAAGGCCATTGTTAACAAATATAATGAAATCTCTGTACCATCACTCCAGTGAAGGTATTTGTTGGCTATCCTTGTGTTAGGAGAGGAAAGAATTGAATTTTTTTTTGTTTCTAAATAAAGCTTTGAGCTGTTTCTCCTTCTAACAACCAGATCTCTCTATAAACAACTGCGATTTAATTAACTTTACTGGTAATAAATTGATCTTCACACGACCTAAATCTGACCTAGATGATTCTAGCCATGCTGGACCTTCAGTACATTGTGTGATGTTTACCTTTGATGTCAAAACAACACTGGCTTTTGCTAGACAGTCAAAATAACTGTAACTAGAACATGATTTTCCCTTTTTGCAGATGCAGATTTAACCAGCACAGTGCATCAAATTTGCTAAAAAATACATGAACAGCAGTGCTGCTGCTCAGTCTTGCATGTAAATTGCAGTTGTGCTCACCCATGTGTATCCAAGTGGAGTGTCTCACTATTCAGATAGTTTCATTAATTTCAGAAGAATTCCTTGTGGTGACAATCAGTGTGAAGGAGACCCCTGTTTATTCCTAGCTTAAGAATTAGTATTGGCCATGTCATAATTGTGTTTATGTGTATTCATATTTCCTGAATGAACTCACATGGGAACCTGCTTAATTAGACATTTGTCCCTGGTTTCCGGTTTTCTGGAATTTTTGTTGTCTCTGGCACTTGAATTCAGTCCAAATGAGGGGAAAAAATTATTTTACCTTCCCGTGAATAAGAAAGTATGTGCTTAATGAAATGGAGTGTAATGAATCTTAATTTAGCTGAGAAAAAAAAAAAGGTGCTTTCAAGACCCTCAGCTTGGGGAGAGACTTCCCAGCACCCAACTGTCAGGAATCTCTGCTCCATGTTGGTTATGGGAATGCATGTCAGGGGCAGTGTTGGATTCTACTGAAGTGGGTTGAGTTAGATTAATCTTGTTTTGCCCGGAGATTTCTCAACAGATCTATGAGGGAATGAGTGAAACATGAAAAGAAACACTGAACAAAGAAATAAACAAAAAAAAAACAACAAACCCAGAACAAAATATATTAAAAAAACTCCAAAATAAATAATAATGAAAACAAATATGTTTTGATTTATTATGCATTTCTACCCCTTTGCCTTTAAAGTATTAGTGTTTTGTTTTATATTTATAATACATGTATATTACCATATATCATGAATGCGGTTTATATATTGTATTTCTCTTTCTGTATTTCCGTTCCTATATTTAAATTTTGTTTATAGATTAGGGGTCAAATAACGTGTCTACCTACTTGTCCCTGCTCTGGCACCTATTCAGGAGCACACAAACAATCTCGCACATTTCAAAGGTGCACAAAAACCTGTTGAAGTGGAACATCAGGTGAAACATAATTGAAAACCAAATACAGGAGCCCAGGGTTTGTTTTGGTTTTTTTTGAGCTGAGGTAAACTGGAACTCTATGGGAAAGGAGAACTGATACTCGCCTCCACTGAGGGTAGGAAAGCACACATTAAACTGGCATTGTTGTGCTGCTTTAAGGAGAAGTCAGATGTCTGCTTGCCCTGTAAAGCAAATCGTGTCTGTTCGCACTCTTGGGGGTCTGCTTTCAAGAAAAGGTGCCTCAGTCTGTTTTTAAAGAACAAAAAGAGACACCGAATAACCTCTTACTTTTCCCATTTCTGCTTTAGAAGCAGAAAGGTACGTTCAAAGTGGCTTACTCGTCAGGAGGATTCAGCTTCTGGCACACTTTGCCCGGCTAGATTACTCTGAGTCTTCAGGGTCTGTACCTCCCGTAAGTCGACCTAAGCCTTTCTATTTAAATGCAAATAGGCTTATGATGGAGGCACAAATGAGCAAGAATGAGGATTGTCTGAGGAGGAGATAGAACTGAGCTCTGTTCTGCTAAACTTGAACCTATACAAACAGATGCTCTGTGGAGGAGGGGAGACAGGTGGTAGTTTACCTTTGCTTTAGCAATGCTTTTAGCATGTTATCTCAGGGTTTCCAAATTAGAGACAGATGGACTTGATGGATGGACTGCACAGCGAGTGGGAAACTGGTGTGACCACTTGGCTCAAGGAGTGGCAGTTCAAAGCCCAGATACTAATAAAAATAGAATTGCCTGATAAATTATCCTGGCCTTCAGTTGTTTGTGAAAACAAAATTCTGAGGTCATCTGCAAAGTTTCAACAGCTAAAATGGGCCCTTGTGTGCACTGGCAGATGTCGTGTGGATACAGTGAGAAGATTTATGAGAGAGGGAAGTGTCCTGCAGGATAAAATTGACAAGACACAGGAACGTTGCAGTGGGTTGCACAGGTCCAGCATTCTCCCAAAGCGTTTCAAAGTCAGAGACTGTACAGTGGAAAGCAGCTAAATTATCTTTTCTGCATAAAAAAAATGAAGTTCTTGGGTAACTGTTAAACTCTGGGCAGTTAAACAACCCCCACAGGTATTCTGGAATTACTGTTGAGCAATTTCAAGATCTCTCTGCTATTGTATTCAGTTTTAACTTACTAAAAATGGAAAGTGGTGCTCTAAGAAGTCTAGAGGAGATCATGTTACAGTCCGGTGCTGCTTCATTTGTAGTTGTGAGAGGCCAGGCTAGAAAGGAGCAGAAAAGGAAATTCTCAGCATACCTTCCCGAGCAGAATTTGCACCTCTACCCTTCACAGAAAAGATGTGGGTTTAACAATTTGAGCTTTCCAGCAAATTTGCTTCAGTTTGATACAGTATGTGAAAAAAAAAAAAAAATGCCTGTGTGTTTATTAATTGATTTTATTTTCCAACTTGTCACCAGAGGAATTCAGAATACTGGAAGTACGGGGAGCTTTAAAAATCTGTCCCAAAGACAAAAAGTGGAAATTAATGAAAAGCAGTAGAAGCAAAGAAGGAGCATTGCTTGGAGTGAAGGAGTTTTATTTGATGAGTAAGGCTGTATGCAGGAGTAGGCTTAGAGCCCAGTAGGAATTTAATGATTTACAGCCTGTCAGCATCTGCAGACAGACAGGAAGTCAATGGATTGTATGTAAGTGCTTTCCTCAGTGTTGGCTGACTTTTCATGAGGGAGACTGCACCAGTTAGAGGCCAACACAAGCAGAGATTTGGTTCTTAGTTTTCTTTATATTCATTTACTAAGCAGTGTGACTGAATTAAATGTTATCAGAAAAACACAAAAGCTGGTATGTGTGCTTGTGCCTTTTCTCTGTATTCTAACATTATTATGGTATTTAGCTTAGATTTTCGTGATACATATTTCTTGCTGCTCAATATTTTACTGCCCAAATCTTTACCTAGATAAGTCAGTATAGTTCTGCATCTGGGCTGTGGACTTTTCTGCTACAGAAGAAAGTATGGTTTCATTTATTCAAGTAGTTTGCTATGAGAAGTCTACCTGGCATGATAACTTTTCCAGGCTAAAGTCTCTCTGAAAGAAAGAACTCTCTCCATTTTCCTGGGTTCTGTTCAATGTTGGCAAATAAAATTCACCATGTTATCAGACAACAAAGTTGAAAAAAACCCCTGCATTTCCTGTAAATTTGATTAACTGCGAGACTCCATCTAAATTAATTTTTTCTATTAATTTGAAACAATGGCAGTAGTGATTGATATATTTTATACATGTTTATTAATGAAGGCACCATTTTGTTTTAAAATGTGCGATACTTTATACGAACTAGTAATATATTGCTTGCATGTTTCCAAAAGGTTTGGGGTGGAGCCTCCTGGACTAATAAAGTTAGAAAAAGAAATTGAGCAGGAGGAAACACTCTCAGCTCCCCTTCCATCTCCTTCACCGTCACCAACAAAGTCTCCTGGGAAAAAGAGCACAGGGAAACTGCTGGATGATGCTGTAAGTTGTGGGGGGAAGCTTCTTCCTTACCGGTCTGTTCTGACATGCACTTACTTGCAAAGCACACACAAACCTGACTTTAACATTCCACTGTATCTCTTAAACATTTGCAGGCTGATAGGGTTAATTTCTTTTTGACCGTAATTATTTGTGTCTGAAGCTTGGAAATAAAAAAAACCAACCAAACAAACAAAAAAACACAACTCCTCACACTGTGTAGGAGCTCTGCAGCTTAGCCCAGCTCTGTGCTTGGGGCCACCATTCCCTTCTTAACTGCTCCTTTACTTCTTATTCATCAACTCCCACTTCGGTGCTTTGTCTGAGGAAGGACTGAGTCAGGACTGGGAGATCTGGCTCCTGCCGACCTGTATTGAATGCTAACAAACACTTCTAAGACATTTCAGCCTAATTTTTATGCTGCTGTTCTGCATGTTTCTCACATTGTAAAAAAAAAAAAAAAAAAGCCAGGCATTGTTTTGCTCATTGTTAGAACAAAAGCATCTTGTTTTGGATTTCATTAAGCTCGTGGCAGCATACTTGAGTGTTCACTTCTCTGCTGCAAACCCATAGGGGTTCATTCGAAACAGCTGGATTCAGATGAAAAGGACACACTTTGAGACCACGAAGAGGTTAAATTTTAAAAGTACAAAATCTAGCCTGTAAAAAGAAGCAGTTACCATGGCAACTGCTACATTGTGAGGTAGATGTGCCACCTGGGAGTTACAAAGCACTTCTTGAAAAATCCATGAGCCACTTCCCTGTTACAAAGAGCAGATGGAATATAATGTTCGTTCATTTTATTGAAACACTCTTGGGTTTGGTTTTTTTCTTTCTTTGATGCATATAATTACATTTAAAGTTTTTTGGTTTGTGTTTCTTCCTTACCTTCGCAAAAGCACTCACGTTTCAACAGAATTGAGAGAGAACAGTTCTGTGCAGAAGGAGCATGGTGACTGCATACCTTGTAGAAGCAGAGCAGAGAGCATGAAGGTTGTCTCTGACCACCTCCTTTAATTTAGAAAGCAGTAGGGATAGAAGCAGAATGGAATCCATCCAGCTAGATTCCTGACCCACACTGCCCCAGACACTCACACCATAAAACAGCAGCAGTGCTCGTCTAGTCCAGACACAGAATAAAATAGAATATAATTCTTCCCTCTGCTTCCTTATTTGATTTCCAAATTCCACTCAGTAATACTTCTTTGTCCTTTGGGATAGTAGTAAGGCAATGGAAGCCTCAACAGCAGGCTCAGCAGTGAAGGTCTTATTATTCTCTGTTTCACACTGGTATAAATCTCTTTGCTGTCATTCTCCATAGGCTGAAGATGGCTCTACTTTGCTTACACAGTTTCAAAACACAGTTTTGAACCTGTTAGGCCCAGCTACTGCAGGTTTCTGCTTGCTTAGGTGAACTCTGATAGGCACAGCATTAAGGCACAGTTCGTACTATTTATTTTCAGCTTTGAATTTCCAGAGTCTCCAGAGGTGATAAATGCCATGTGGCATTGTGCAAGAAATCCCTTAAAACTGAACACTATTCAGAGGGCCATTGCCAAATAGGTCCCTAAGCACAATCCAGTCTTAGTACCACATTCCAAAATATGCAGCAATTACACCTTTTTCATCCTCAGCAACCTGCACTTGTGTTTTAAGTCATCATACAAGTTGTTCCTGTTGTACACTGGCTGTCTAAATAGTCTGATTCACCAGAAATGGTGAACTCTCACCCATGCTGATAAACTCACTCGAATAACTAATTTAAAAATTCAAATCAGGATTCATCCAAACTGTTTGACTTCAGTTAAACAGAGCAAATTTAACGTTGAGCTGTGTGGTGCTCATCTGTTTTTAACTCATCACAGCTCCTAAATAATTGCTGTTATTGGAAGCACCATAGGGTGCTTTCTGGGACAACAGAAATATTAAGAAAATAAAGAAAAAATAAGAAAAATATCATCTATTAAGACTTATGTTAGAGATATGTTATGATTAATGTCTTAATGACATTACTACACATGTTATTTTAAACAGTTTCTGTAAATGATTTCTGTGTTTCCCAGGTCAAACACATTTCTGAAGATCCACCTTGTAAATGCCCCAATAAGTTCTGCGTGGAGCGTCTTTCACAGGGAAGATACAGAGTTGGAGAGAAGATCCTCTTTATTAGGGTAAAGGTTTTACTTTTTACTTTGTAGTGAATTGCCAGTATCTGCTGCCTTCACTTTGAACGTTACATCACTGATTAAGAGGAGAAAATATTTTTGTTGTTAAACAGCACTGACTCATTTTTAGGACACTGTTGGGGAATAAATAACCTACAGTGTGTTAACTGAGCCAAGGAATTATTAGTATGTGGTAGATCCTTCTGACTTTGGGGCACTGAATTTTGCTCTCTCTTTGATAAATGGAAACCAAAAGAAAAGTCTTCAGAAATGGACATGATGACTTCCTCTCAGTCTGTCCTGAAAGAGCATCCACTGCATTAAAACAGCCTCTCTTCCACTTTGTTTTGGCTGATACTGTTTGACAGGTCAGGAAACAGATCAAAGACTTCATGATCATTGAGTTGCCAAGCCACGACTAAGATATATTGCTCAAGTAGGATGAGCAAAACATTAATGTCCATAGTACTTAATTTGATTAACAGATATTTCCAAACCCAGACTCGTATTTCAGACATTGTATGTAGAGTATTAATTCCCACAGCACAAAGTTAATCATTAGTATAAATACTTGCTAGCATTACTATCTGGCTGAATTTAGCACAGCTATACTTTCCAAACTTTAATTTTGACCTGTTTAATCTCTGTTTATGTCTATGGTAATAATGATTGAGAATATGCTAATCTTATATATTCCATAGTAATGTGTTAGGAGTCTGCTATGCTTCTTTCCATTTTTTCCAGCTTTATTAGTAGCTTCAAATGACTGAAGAAGGTAATGATCATTAATCAAAGACCTCAATAACCTGGCACAGTTTAACACTTAGATTTTCTTCCTTTTGTTTTTAATTTCAAAAAACCAGCATCAAAGTATTTTTAATCTTCTAGTTTTGAGAAATTTGAGTTCTGCCAGAATGGTGAGTGTCAAATTCCCTTTTGCTGGCCTTCTTTATTGTACCATCTAGTCCACGCCAGATTTCCTTCCCAGTTTGCAAACAAAACACCTTCTTCATATCATGCTACCACATTCCAAATTGAATTGTGCAAAGGAAATAACAGTAATATAGATCAGATATTAAACCACAGTATTAGAGGTCATTCCTGCAAAAATGATGGTAATGGAAACTTGCCATGAATTTTGGTGGAAGCAAGTCCATATTCTTCAGTTTTAAAACTCAGTTGTGTTTTGGTTTGGGTTGGTTTGAACCTCGTTTTGAAACTCTTCTCTGGATCACGGTAAGTTTTTTGCTCTTCCTTCTACATGTTCTAATCGTGTACGTGAGTAGATTTATTAGCCTTGCTTTGGAATCCTTTGGACACTTGTGAAAAGGCACACTTGAGGTGTGTAGCTGACTTTTAATGTTGTTGATATTTGGCCGCCCTATTTGACGCCACTCAGATGGTTCCTCCTACTTTATATATTCTTTACACAGCGTGACACAGCCAAACACATGCCTTTTTTTTTTTTTTTTAATTTTTGCAACCCAGTGTGTTCCAGTTGAATTGAGATCAACACTTGCATTGTTTTAGGCTGGCTTAGTACACCCAAACCTGTATTATTACTCTATTAGCTTTCCCCAGTAACCTCTATAGGACTTAAAACCTGTATAATTTTAGTGATTCTACAAGTATGCCATGTGGTAGGAGTTGGCACCTGTTCATTGATGATTAAGATAGTTGTTTTCAGAAATTATTTAATAATATTATTAAACTCTGCAATTTCTGTTAAAAAAACCCTCAAAAACAGAAGAAAAGGTGCCCCAAGTACGTCCTTTTATTAATTGATGTCTATATGTGGAACAAGTGAAAAAGGAACAGCAAAGAAAAATAAAATGTGGCAGAACACAGATTTCATGCAAAAAACCACAGAAAACAAGTTGCATGTGTCAACCTAATTCTAAGGAGAAAGACCCTTTGGAATGTATGGCAAAACAGAGGGGGGACAGTCCTTCAGAATTTCTCTTGTATCATAGTAACTTCTTAAGGTAATGGCCCCATTACAATTGGCAGAGTAATTTTTTAACTTGGGAAAATACTTTTTTATGCATGGGCAATCATTTTCAGTTTCTGCCTTATAATTCCATGAGGCATAAACTGAACATGATTACCATAATGCTGTGGTGGCTTAGATGCTAAAAATCTATTTTCCATAAAAAATATATCTGCTTGTGAGTTCTTTTTCCATCCTCCCAAATAAAAATGAAAGAATCTAAATCCTACTTGAACAAAAAAAGATGGAAGACATGTGTTACAGTAATGGATTATATTATTGACTCCAAATAAATGAATTGACCATCTTATTTAAAACTGAAACATTGGTTTACCATTAGTGGGATCTCTGTATGTGTGCCATATACAATTAATTATTTCCCTGTTTACTCTCACATCCTACTATTATGCCTTAGTCTTTTAAATTGGTACTGAATTAATAAGCCTATTTTTTTAAAATAAAGAATAGCAAGTTATGAAAACTTGCACAAATATATGTTTTATAACTTGGGATAGAGAGTCAGAGAGTCTGAGGTGCTTACTACTTGCAGAAGGCAGCACAGGAGTGTTTTAGAAAATGTCAGTCACACCTTTAAAAAAAAAAAAGTCTTTTTTTCAACAGTTTCAGTGACAAGAATTCTTATTTCAAGTTATCTTGTGTTTATTACATTATATATGTGTAAGTAGGAACATTTCCCATATACTGGCAAGCTTCTCTCAGAGACATCTGTCCTGTTGGTCCATACCCATGATGACATCCAGATCCTTGGGTTCTGCACCAAAACTATTGAAAAACTATTTCTTTGTGCAACTAGAGTCATATTAGGTATATTATATGTATATATATATATATAGTAGATGATATAATGGGGCCTGGCTTTGAAACTTCTCATTATTCCAAGATAGATGTCCTCTATGTTGAAGATCAGTTGATAAGTATGTGATTGCTCTTACTTCTAATAATTAATATCACTTAGCATTATTTTGCTATGGTAATAATAAAATGTTTGTTTAATGCCTTTTTTTTTTTTCTTATAAATCACAGGAAATGAAAGCTGTTATTTACCCACCTGTGTAGAAACTTTATTTTGGCATTTACTAACACGTGTGTGTGCAATATATATGTTTTTATATATAATAGCACTCTGCAGACAGTCTGTTGTGCGCTATTGCCTCTTCCTGGTGAGAAAAATGTACTTATGTATAAACACAGAAGCACATTTTACTCCAAACCATCCAGGTAGGGAGGATATATCATATAAGAACTGGAAATAAGAAGAAATAGAAAGCAGATTTGGTTATACAGTTCTCAAATGTCTTGTTCTGCCTTTCCAATCTAAATACATAAGTTGTACTCATAGGTTTTGCTTGGTGTGCTTCTGTCTTCTGGTTATTTTTTCTTCAGCATCACTTTCCTGGCTTTTTTCTCTTCTTTATTCTGAAGATTTTAACATCTGTTCTGCTTTTCCCAGGCCCATTCACTTCCAGTCTGCAAAACAGTTTACCGTTATAGCAGTGAAATTCCTTCCTTAAGCTTTACCCATAGCAAATACCTTTCAAGGGTGTCTAAAAAGTCTAAATCATAGGCAGACCTGGGGTTTTAATGAAGCTTTTTCCAAAGGAGATGGAGTGGGATGCTTGGGATCTTGGGAGTGAATTGTGAGAACACCTCTCGGGTCTCAGGGCAGGGACAATCATTGACTCCTTCTTTGGGCTTCTGATCTTAGTCTCTTCATGTTTGTAGACAAACACACTCAACTCAAGAATGCAAAAGACCTCGGGAAGGGCCTGTCTAAAGTCCAGCCCTAATTTATGCCCCAAATGTAAAGAGGTTTTGGAGACCTTTCAGCTGGACACTTCACTACGTGGCAATTCCTCTCCACCAGCTTTGCAATCACAAAGTAGGCGGTACATTTCAGTCTTACTCATTGAGTTCTTCTCAGCTTTCTGAGGTTTTGTTTGTTGTTTAAAATAAAAAAAGTCCTTAAAGGGCCATTAAAATTCATTCCACAAGACTCAAAAGCTCTTGGATGAACAGGGATGCTGAACGTGTCAGTGGGGTGATCACATTTAAATGCTGCCTGTACAAGAGTCAGGAAATATATTTTCTTTTACACTCTGACATCAATCTGTTGACATCAGGCAGACCCTGCCCTCCTCCAGTTTAAGTTGTAGCAGCTTGCTTGTTTTTACAGTTGCACTTTCTGTCCTGCCTCTCCCTTCTTTTCTGTATTTTCAGTTTTCCCCTTCCTGCCTCGAGCTTTTCTTACGCAGGTTTAGAAAATTCTGTGGAGCCAGAAGCCCATGGACATCTCTTTGATGACTTTAAAAGTGCCAGAAATTAAACAAATATTACTTTGCCCCTCTTAATTTAGTTTTCTATATTTTTTTTGCATTGATCTGGTGCATTTCTGTGACTGTTCATGTTAATTATGTGTCGAGAACGTTGAAAGGGTTCATTGTGAACTTCTTTACAATACAAAACCTCCATAAATCAAATTCTTAACTGCTAATTTAATGGAAAAGTGTTGGGAGTGACTCCTTTTTGCTTTCACCCCAATGAAGTTCTCGTTAGACTTGGCTGGAAACCTTTTGACGAAATGCTCATGTGGGAACGCATGTCAGAAATGTTTCAGTGGAGCTGACAGGCTGTGCTGCAGTTTTTCTTTCTAGCTTAGACCTGTTTGCCTCAGTGACCCCCTTCTGTGGGCAGTCAAATATTGTGTCTTCTTTAATTCCCAGCGTCTCCCTCGATGCACGATGAGAGCTCCACTTGGAGATGTGAAAATTTCGTTAGCAAATCACATTGTGCATTTTTTAGGGTGTAACACGTCTTGAAGAAGTGTCACATTCTAGTTCTTGAAATGGCTAATACACCTGCAGTGGTTTCCTGCCAAGGTATTTACCATTTAAACTTCTAGAGATGAAATTATAATGATTTTACATTCCCTGAGATCAGTAGAAAGAGAACTCTCCCCTTGGGAGAAGGCCGGGGTAGAGTATTCTGAAGCTTTATG